CATTACTGTCAGTCTGTCAGTTATGTGCCATCCGTGATACATGCTTAGGCGATTATAATGAGGCAGATTTTTTCCCGAAGTAGGTTGCGACCAGTTTCTGTAGACCAGTTGCCATCCAAGGCCGGTCCGGCTATTTACCCATAAGGTGGGGGGAGAGAAAAAGAGGTTCCATACCTTTCCTAAGGGTATTAACACATAAGTGAATGTAATTCGGCTCTTCGGTTTCTCAATCCGAGCCGCTATCCATTACTCCATCGTGCCTCCTCTCAACATTACTGTACTAGTATTATTACTGTTTCTGTAGCGTGCCAAGTAACCATCTTTGAGTTGTAAGAGTTCTTTTAAGAGTTCCATTAAAGTGGGGATAATCAAGTTTATTATAACAAGAGATAAGTGAAATTGGCTTCTTTCAGAGCTAAGTGTGTCTATTCGAATGAAATTAAAAGATTCAAATAAATATCACGAGTTGCATGTTGAAAACTAGTTCAAATTCTCGAAATGAAGAATGGTGTTTGTCTATACCATCGTTATCAATGGCAACAATGGCAAAAAATATCGTAAAATAGGAATGTATAACAAATATCGACTGATATTTTCATGCGTCAATCAAACATGGGGAAAATAACAAACCTTTTCACCTTCGGAAGTATCTGAATGTTTTAAGTGCTTGAATATCTTCTTTGGGAAAAAGGGGGAAGAAGTAAATTTGAAAACAAGATTATTCTTTTGTCAGGAGTCACGTTGTTCTTGCAGTCTCTTTATTTACCACTTCATCCAACTGCTACAGTCGTACTTCAGTATTTCACACCTAAAATGAGTTCTTTGTGGTTTTATTAAGTTTTTCTTGGTTTGTTAGTTTTTCAATTTACATGTGACAAACTCTATTGAGTTACATGTTATCGACAGCAAGTCTCGTTGCTGTTCAACCTCGATGACCAGATAGATCGATTTGTCTCGTAAGATTATGACACTTCACGAGATGAGGCTTAGAACGAGAATGTTGCGTCCTGGGTATGACGTATACATAAGGCAGTGTTGTTTTCTTCATCAGAGAATTTGACATATACGTAGGTATGTCAATAAATTTATAGTTTAATATTGAAAAAAAAAAATTTTTTTTTCAACATCTGTTGTCTGTACACTTAAACCAACACTTCAATGAATCTCATCAATTGAACATTATCTAAAAGGAGTTTCAGATAAAAAAATTCAGATATATATTTGTTTACGGATTTATTCATAAGTAGAGACATGGCTACAAGCCGAATCACGAAGAAAAAAGAACCGTGAGACCAGAAGAGACCAAAGTGTTAGAAGATTGTTGGTTTGTTTAACGGTATATCAACACCCTTATGGGTCATTTAATACCGAAATTTAATTTTCTTGGGAGCATTATTATTTTCTTATCAAAAATATATTGCAGGTAATTATTTTTATTTTTTGTTACAAAAATATAATGGCAATAATCTTTGATTCTGAAAATGTATTGCTAGTATTTTTACTATAAAAATGCATTTTTTATACTTTCATAGCGTTTTCAACCTGTTTGGGGGGGGTAACTATTTCCCATTGTTGGGACACTGACAAGTGATACCACCTTGAGTCACGGTTGGCCTGGGAACAATAGCAATTAAGAGGTGGTTCCACGCTCCTCAAAACTTCCGATCAGAAGCCTTGCTGCCTTATGTAGTTTATCGTCATACCCAGGACACAATATTCTCGTTCTAAGCCTCATCTCGTGAAGTGTCATAATCTTACGAGACAAATCGATCTAACTGGTCATCGAGGTTAAACTTGCTGCCGATAACATGTAACAATACAGTTTGTCACATGTAAGTTGAAGAACTAACAAATCAAGAAAAACTTAATAAAGCCACAAAGAACTCCACAAAATAAATTTTATTCTGTGTTAAAAATGCACGTTGTTCAGAGTTCATTTTAGGTGTAAAATACTGAAGTACGACTGTAGCAGTTGGAGGAAGTAGAAAATAAAGAGACAGCAGAAACAACGTGACTCCCGAGAAAAGAATAATCTTGTTTTCAAGTTTACTTTTTCCCCCTTTTTTTCAAAGAAGACACTCAAGCACTTAAAACATTCAGATACTTCCGAAGGTGAAAAGGTTTGTTATTTTCCCCATCTTAGATTTACGCGTGAAAATATCAGTCGATAATTAGTTATACATTCCTATTTTACGATATTTTTTAACGTTATAAAAAAGAATCATAGAAGAGTTTCTTTGCCATAAGTATGTGTTAATGAGCTGCTCAAATGTAGCCTTCAAAATGAAATTCAATATTTATTGCTCATTAACGCACAATGTTATAAATGTGATTAAATAACAATAAAGAATTTCTCCAGGTTAACAATGTCTGAATATCTTTCACCTTGGTATGCTCACAACTCTACATTCTTTTGTGGAAAGTTAAGCTGGATCTGGTACAAGATCACAAGAGCATCGTACCCACTTTAAGGATTAAATACACAAGCAAATCATCTCGCTAGACTAGCCTGCCAAACATTACTCAATGCAAATCACCTTTATTTACTGAATTTTGCCCGACATTGATAGTAGAGGAAAAGAGCAGTCAATGAATGTAGAAGCCATTGCATTACCGAATTTGGTCTCATGTTAAGTTTGCTAAATATCGTGCTACGGTAGACAGATTTTGTTAATTTCCAATAGCGAAACAATTCATTTCAATTGTTATTATCTTGTCAGCGATTTCTTGACATTCATTATCATCTAAACACCGTTTCCTTTATGCTTTCTTCTATTCCTCTACAACACAAGATTAGCCTAGTTTAGTTCGTCCTGGGTATGACGATAAACTACGTCCGCGTCCTGGGTAAGACGATAAACTACGTCCGCGTCCTGGGTATAACCATAAACTACGTCTGCGTCCTGGGTAAGACGATAAACTACGTCCGCGTCTTGGGTATGACGATAAACTACATCCGCGTCCTGGGTAAGACGATAAACTACATCCAACAGCAAGGCCTCTGATCAGGAGGTTTTGAGGAGCGTGGAACCACCTCAATTGCTGGTTTTCCCAGGTCTACCCTGGCACGGGGTGGTAGTACTTGTTAGGGTCCCAGCTATGGGCAAATAGTTAACCCTGAAACTGGGGTAAAGACACTATGAATGTGTAAAAATAAGCTTCAGTACCAGAAATACTTTGTAAAAAATTATTATCAGTAATAAAATTTTGAAAAACAATATTACCAGCAATACATTTTTGAAAAAGAAAAATATCACCAACAATACATTTTGGAAGGAAAAGTATTACCAGAAATAGATTTTTGAAGGAAAAAATCTTACCAGAAATAGATTTTTGACAAAACAAAATATTACCAGCAATAAAAATTTTTGTCAGCCTTAAGTAGCCCATTGAGGTTGATATGCTGTAAAACAAAACAAACCAAATCAAACCAAACCAAACGTAGTTTAGTTTTAAGGTTACTAATACGTAACACTCAGTGAGGATCAATAACAATCACTTTCGAGATGTGGACTTGTTAACTACCACTAAGTGTCATGTTTTATTTTATATTTTTGTTTCTGGGCAGAATTATAAAACCGTGTATGTATGTGTTAATACTTCATCAAATGTGTATATACAAAATTGAAGCACACATGAAACTGCTGCATCGTGGTATGCACATGCATACACATATATATGCAGGGGATGCTAATTATGTGCCTGCGTGTGCGTACGCGTGAGATGATTTGATTTATTTATAGTTTGTTTGGCATTCTAAAATGAACAACCAAAATGCCATTTTCTTTCATTTGCAGAGAACTTTTCACTTTTTTTGTGATTTTTATATCGCTGTCGATAGAATGTACTTTTCAATCTTAGAGCTTTTACTTTCATTATTATTATTATTATTATTATTATTATTATTATTATTATTAGGTTTGTTATTACTTCCTTAAATGCATCTTTCCTTTATTCCCACTCCCCTTATTTTGTCTTTTATCTTTTCTTCTAATCACTCTTCTTTACTCCACTCCTCTTTTACGTCCTTCTCTCCGCCATTTTCTATCTCTCTCTTTTCTTGACTGATTTCCCTTCAGTTTCGATCTCCTTCCCTGTAATTCGTTCTTCCCTTTTCGAATTCCCATTTTATGCTCGAACCTTGAGGGACATTACGCCGCCAACATTTTCTAATGAACCTGTTGAAATGTCTCTAATCAGGCTCAAAGAGGAAACCTCACCGACCTGCTGCTTATTTCGTGCTTATTAGGCAGAAATGTATTGCAATTTTATTTAGAACGCTCATCTTGGAGAGAAACTATTCCTGTTGTTCCATGAAAGAAATTGATTCACATTTTGGATGCCAAAATGCAAACAACTTTTTTATTTTGGATTTCTTGAATTTACGCTTCCATCAAACGAGTTTGTTTTTTTCTATCGCAGCGTTGCAAATCTTACAGATAAATAAAAAGGCTATTATATCTTTTAAGAAAAGCAGTGGCCATATTGTTTAGGTAATTTCTGTAACTCATATCACGATTTGTTTGATATTTTTCTGGCTGAGATACGCTGAAGACAGGGCAAGGTTTGTCTACAATTAAATGTTATCTGACATCAAACATTTTCGCTTCTTAACATATTTTAGACCATGGAGAGAATAAGACTTAGAGTGTCATTTGAGACGCAAGCGAAAGTCAAAGTAATATGAAAAGAATAGATTGAGCTTAAATAAAAAACGCTCTCATTGATTTGTTTTTTTACAGGTTACTAACATTTTGCAGGTTATTTAAAGCCAGACAATATTTGTAGATTCTAAGAATTTCTTTTTTTTGGCGGGTGTGTGGGGGTGATAATGATTTACGGATAGAAATCCTACTAATTAACCCATATCTGGAAAGAAGATATGGATTCATATTTTTCCCAAGAGTATTTGCGAGTAAGTGACTGGAACTGGAATTGGAACTCAGTTTTCCGATTTCCAATTCCGTGATGTTATTTATTACACCACCTGCACATTCAAGCTTACATCATCCGGAATTCCTAAGTGCTCACTCATCCAGGTACTGAACAGGCTCGACGTTGCTTAACTTCTTTGATCGCACGGGAACTGGTGCTTCGACGTGATATGGCCGTAAGCCCCAAAATGCTATGAGATCATAAGAATGTACACAATTTATAGTAATATTAGTTTATACATGTACCGTTCAAAAATATCGGCCATATTGAAATCATTTCATATTTGCATTGATTACATTTTCTGATGGATTAATCTTGGAATTGTTTAATTAACTCTATTGTCAAGTGTAAGAAATAATTCTGCTTTAAAAAAACATTACAATTAAAAATGTCGGAAAAAGCTAACACATGACAAAAGAAAAGAAGTCCTCATATCCGAATTTCTCAGTGTTGCAATTTAGATGTTGTAGAAATATGCTACATTCTAATATTTTTCTTTTCTTTGCTGATAATTGTTAGTAACTTGAAATTTCTCAATCCATAATGTCTCACACAGAAGAAACCTTATCTGGAAGAAAAAAGGATAAAGAAATTCTTTGACGTTACGTCAAAAATTAGAGATTATTGAACAACTGGACGAATCTTCTGATTCGTTGAATTTGCAAATTAAAAAACAAGGATTGAAGAATCTGAACGAAGCACTAAAACTTGCCCTTGAAGCTGATCCACTGAATATTCTCACTTTAGGTGACTTAAAAGAATTGGTAAATGAAGAAGGCTAAGGAATTACAAAAGAATTCAACGGTAGAATCGCTTCAAAATGATTTGGAATAGACGAAGAATCAAATTCTTCCAATAATGCTAAAAATATGAAGGATGATGATGAAGACTGGGGTTCAGTAGAGAAATCTATTAATGATGTCATCATATTCACGGAAAAAAATCTTTGTTCAGTAGTACAGAATGTACAAGTGCACGTCGTTTGCAGAAATGACTTTAAAAGAAAACAGCGAAAAGTAAACGAAATGAGAAAAGAAATAAGAAAGACAATTGAAAATAAAACTTGTTGCAAGTTAATATTTACTTTCGTAAGACACTTCATTTTTCACACATTGCGATAATTTCTTGGGTTATATTACTCATGCCACATTTATATCCGAACCTGTCCTCATATCCGAATCTCTCCTCATATCCGAATTTGTCCTCATATCCGAATCTCTCCTCATATCCGAACCTGTCCTCATATCCGAATCTGTCCTCATATCCGAATCTCTCCTCATATCCGAACCTGTCCTCATATCCGAATCTGTCCTCATATCCGAACCTGTCCTCATATCCGAATTTGTCCTCATATCCGAATCTCTCCTCATATCCGAATTTGTCCTCATATCCGAATCTCTCCTCATATCCGAATCTCTCCTCATATCCGAATTTGTCCTCATATCCGAATCTCTCCTCATATCCGAATTTGTCCTCATATACGAATCTTTCCTCATATCCGAATCTCTCCTCATATCCGAATTTGTCCTCATATCCGAATCTCTCCTCATATCCGAACCTGTCCTCATATCCGAATCTGTCCTCATATCCGAATTTGTCCTCATATCCGAATCTGTCCTCATATCCGACCCTGTCCTCATATCCGAATCTGTCCTCATATCCGAATCTCTCCTCATATCCGAATTTGTCCTCATATCCGAATTTGTCCTCATATCCGAATTTGTCCTCATATCCGAATCTCTCCTCATATCCAAATCTGTCCTCATATCCGAATTTGTCCTCATATCCGAATCTCTATCCATTATATCCGAACCTGTCCTCATATCCGAATCTGTCCTCATATCCGAATCTCTCCTCATATCCGAACCTGTCCTCATATCCGAATCTCTATCCATTATATCCGAACCTGTCCTCATATCCGAATTTGTCCTCATATCCGAATCTCTCCTCATATCCGAATTTGTCCTCATATCCGAACCTGTCCTCATATCCGAATCTCTCCTCATATCCGAATCTCTCCTCATATCCGAATTTGTCCTCATATCCGAATCTCTCCTCATATCCGAATTTGTCCTCATATCCGAATCTCTCCTCATATCCGAATCTCTCCTCATATCCGAATTTGTCCTCATATCCGAATCTCTCCTCATATCCGAACCTGTCCTCATATCCGAATCTGTCCTCATATCCGAATTTGTCCTCATATCCGAATCTGTCCTCATATCCGACCCTGTCCTCATATCCGAATCTGTCCTCATATCCGAATCTCTCCTCATATCCGAATTTGTCCTCATATCCGAATTTGTCCTCATATCCGAATTTGTCCTCATATCCGAATCTCTCCTCATATCCAAATCTGTCCTCATATCCGAATTTGTCCTCATATCCGAATCTCTATCCATTATATCCGAACCTGTCCTCATATCCGAATCTGTCCTCATATCCGAATCTCTCCTCATATCCGAACCTGTCCTCATATCCGAATCTCTATCCATTATATCCGAACCTGTCCTCATATCCGAATTTGTCCTCATATCCGAATCTCTCCTCATATCCGAATCTGTCCTCATATCCGAATTTGTCCTCATATCCGAATCTCTATCCATTATATCCGAACCTGTCCTCATATCCGAATTTGTCCTCATATCCGAATCTCTCCTCATATCCGAACCTGTCCTCATATCCGAATTTGTCCTCATATCCGAATCTCTCCTCTGGGTCGGACATCTATCGTATTCCATTGTTAGGATCACACAAGCCAAGTTCACTAACTGACGTCGAATAATGCCACATGTTCCAGTAACAAAAACCATCTCAATACTATCAAGGAAATATGTTTAGCTAATTGATAAATTATGTTTTATATTATAGAATGGTTTATGAAAGGTTAAAGTGAGTGTGTGCATATGTGAGTGTGTGCATTTGCTTGTGTACCTTCAAATCACTACACTTGTATAGATCTGTCCACGTATCTGTATATGCGTATATATGTCTGTACGCATGTGTATCTTTCCTGTTATTCAATTTGTATGAATCGAGCTTGTCCGATCATGTGACAAGGATCAGTCAGTGAAACGCAATCTGATGCCATGACAAGCGAGGCGTTCCTGACGTGTGGGTAAACACAACCTCTTGTAAAATGAAATCTCGGACATGTGAGTAAAGAAAAAAATTTGAAACATCCACTATATACACTATTTACATTATTCGGACTATTGTCCTCATCTTTGTTGTCATATTTATCACAACGTTTCGGCCGTTGTACGCTCCGACCTTCTTCAGATGGTTGAAATGTCGAACTGAACCCTTTATTTCCCTCGCTAGGGTAGACTGCTCTAGTTCCACGTTCCATGTTTAATGGATGTCAGTTATCAGCAATCTCCTGTTAATTCACCTCTCCCAGTTCTCCACTGCTTGTGGCACAGTGGATAAAGACGTTGGCTAGATCCAGTGACAAAACCCAAAGAGTTGTGAGTTCAATACCTCGTTAAGGCAGTGGAGAACTTGGAAAGGTGAATTAACTGGTGGTAACTGAAGACTGACATCCATTAGACATGTCACGTATAACTAGATCAGTCTACCCTAGCGAGCGAAATAAAGGGTTCAGTTCGACATTCCAACTACCTGAAGAAGACCGGAGCGTACATCGGCTGAAACGTGATAAATATGACAACAAAGATGAAGACAATAGTCTGAATAGTGTAAATAGTGTGCATAATACGTGTGTATACTTCTGAGATGTATTATGTACACTATTTACATTATTCGGACTATTGTCCTCATCTTTGTTGCCATATTTATCACAACGTTTTGGCCGTTGTACGCTCCGTCATTCTTCAGGTGGTTGGAATGTCGAACTGAACCCTTTATTTCGCTCGCGGGAGTAGACTGCTCTACTTCCACGTACCATGTCTAATTGATGTCAGTTATCAGTTATCTCCTGTTAATGCACCTCTCCAAGTTCTCCACTGTCTTAACCAGGTATTGAACTCATAACTCTTTGGGTCCTGTCACTGGATCTAACTAACGCTTTTATCCACTGTGCCATGTGTCCTTATGGCGACAATTATGAGGAGAATAGTCCGAATAATGTAAATAGTTTACATAATACCTTATCTCAGATATATAGACAGATAACATCCACTATCTTTCGTTTTCAGGGTCGGATAGAAGGCTTGAAACACGTTTCTACATTTTTGTTAGCATATCTTTGTTAAAAACAAAAGAAAACAAAACTTCATTTACATTTTTTTCGACGTTTCCCTAACCGTCTTTATTTTGGGGGCAATTATCTATACTGACGCCAGATAGTACCAAAGTTACCCACGTATATTTGAAAACCCAACAGCTGCATATATGCATTTACCGCGTAAATCACGACTGTCGAAAGTAAGATATCTTCATAAACGAAAAAAATTATCACTGCAGTAAAATCAGCCCTCAGTAGATACTTTATTAGATTGGTTTCATGAGTAAACAAAGCTTAGTAAATATCTATGAGTACCTGTCGTAGATCAATGTTTAATAAGCACATTTCGCAGACCAATGACTTGTTTAATGATTTCGATCTTCACTGGGTACTTCAATATTGTAACACTGTACCAGTTACGATAGTAAATCACTATTTAGGTACCTTCTGCAGAGTAATTACTAGTAAACGCACCTTGAAGACCAATTGGTTCGTGTAATGATTTTACTTCTCATTGAGAGCTGATGTATTTTGATCCTGTGACAGAACATTATGTTCACTTACGTGCTAATACCCGTATATCACGCTTAGCACATAACTGACTGAGTGATCCTTGGGAAAGGTATGAATCCTCTTCTTCTCGAAGCTATAGGTAAATAGCAGGACAGACCGGGTTCTATAGCCTTGGATGGCAATTGATTTACCGCAGAAAGAAATGGCAACCTACTGCAGGAAAAAAATCTGCCTCGTCAGTCACGTATAGAAATACACATGATCGCCTGTATCACGCATAGCACATAACTGACTGAAATTCACTTACGTGCAAATACCCTTGGGAAAGGTATGAATCCTCTTCTTCTCGCCCTCCAGCTATGGGTAAATAGCAGGACAGACCGGGTTCTATAGCCTTTGATGGCAATAGGTCTACCACAGAAAGAAATGGCAATCTACTGCGAGAAAAAAATCTGCCTCGTCAGTCATGTATCGAAA